TCTCTCTCTCTCTCTCTCTCTCTCTCTCTCTCTCTCTCTCTCTCTCTCTCTCTCTCTATCTCTCTCTCTCTCTCTCTAGCTCTCTCACTCGATCGCTTTCTATTTCGCCCTCTCTCTATTTCTTTTTCTACCCCCCTCTCTCTTTCTATTTTTCTCCCTCCTGTCTCTCTATTTCTTTTTCTACCCCCCCCCATCTCTCTTTTTCTCCCTCTCTTTCTCCCTCTTTTTCTCCTTTCTTTTTATCTCTCTCTTTCTCTCCTTTCTTTTTATCTCTCTCCTTCTTTCTTTTTATCTTTCTCTCTCTCTCTCTCACTGTACGCGTACACACACCCACTCACACACGCTCTACGAGCTGACATCAGCATGCGCAGACCACGTTAGAACCGGATCGGCTGGTTCACACACAGATACGGCCCACGCCGCCGCAGGTCCGGTCTGCAATCGCAACGCATCGCCGCACGAACCACGGCACTCGCAACCAAACGTGGGCTAGCCCACTCATACATGCGCGGGGGTGCGCCGCCGCACCTCACCCTCTACCAACTATGGGGTCATTACGTTTTTTCTCTTCGCTACACGCATACGAGTAGAGTTAGAATTTACCTCTGGATCGGAAAAGGTGCGGGCGTGCGTTAGGTAAGGGTTGCCGTATCGGACGTGTTTTCTTGACGTGCGCGTAGGGTGAGAAATAGACGATTTTTACGCGCGGCAGCGGAGGCGTTCGACGCCAACCTTCCCCCTCGTCGGTGAATGATCTCCGCTGGCGATCACGTGACGTCGCGTACAGCAGACGCGTTCTAATATACGTAGGGAGCTGACGTCACGCGCGCCAATAGCGAGCAGCAGTGGCGCAGGCAGGAACGCAGGCGGAGGGAAGGTGCAAGATGGAGGACACGCGAAATATGCTGCGCGAGCAGCAGCAACATTCGTCGATCTCCTGCCTCTTCCCGGAGATCCTGGCGATGATCTTCAGCTACCTGGACGTCAAGGACAAAGGTAGGGCGGCGCAGGTGTGCGTCGCGTGGCGCGATGCCGCCTACAACCGCTCCGTGTGGAGGGACACCGAAGCGAAGTTACACCTGCGCAAGCAGAATCCGTCTTTGTTTCCGAGTCTCGTGCAGCGGGGCATTCGACGCGTGCAGGTGCTCAGCCTCCGCCGCAGTCTTCGCGACGTCATGAGCGGCGTGCCGACTATCGTCAGTCTCAACCTGAGCGGCTGTTACAACGTGACGGACATCGGTCTCTCATACGCCTTCTCCGGCAGCATTCCGACGCTGAGCGTGCTCAACCTGAGCCTCTGCAAGCAGATCACCGACCGCAGTCTCGACAAGATCGCTCAGAACCTCAAGAACCTCGAAGTTCTCGAACTCGGCGGCTGCTGCAACATCACGAACAACGGTCTGTTGCTGATCGCGTGGGGCCTGCGGCGGCTCCGCGTGCTCAACCTCCGCAGCTGCCGGCACGTGACCGACGTCGGCATCGGACACATCGCCGGACTCAGCCACAAGGCGGAGTCGGCCGACGGAAACCTGCAGCTCGAGCACCTCGGCCTGCAGGACTGCCAGAAGCTCACCGATCAGGCGCTCCTCAACGTCAGTCTCGGCCTCGCGAACCTGCGCGGCATCAACCTCAGCTTCTGCGCGAACATCCGAGACAGCGGACTCAAGTGTCTCGCGCGCATGCCGCGCCTCGCTGCCGTCAACCTTCGCAGCTGCGACAATGTGAGCGACGCCGGCATCGCGTACCTCGCCGAGGGAGGCTGCTCGCGGCTTCAGACGCTCGACGTGAGTTTCTGCGACAAGGTCGGCGACGCGGCGCTCGTGCACGTGTCGCAGGGACTGTACAGCCTGCGCTCGCTCAGCCTCAGCGCGTGTCACATCAGCGACGAGGGCCTGAGCAAGGTGGTGCGGACGCTGCGCGATCTCACGACGCTCAACATCGGTCAGTGCAGCCGCATCACGGACCGCGGGCTGGCGCTGATCGGCGACTACCTGACTAACCTGACTGAGATCGACCTGTACGGATGCACGGGCATCACGACGGTGGGGCTGGAGCGCATCATGCAGCTTCCGCACCTATCCGTGTTGAACCTCGGGCTGTGGCACAAGCGAGTATGATACAGGGCGTCGGAGGACATGCACGCGTGGGGTGGGGGGGCGAGCAAGTGTGTGTGTGCGTGCGTGTGTGTGTACATGCTCGTGTGTGCGTGCGTGCCTGCCCGCGTGTGCGTGATTTCATCTCGTGTCACTGTCGCTGCGTCTATCGATTCGTTACATCTAATTCTTTGTTAATGCGTTCACGGTTGTTTCTTCGGCGATGATTGCGGTAGAGAGGTTTATATCGTGCAGTCTGTGCCATCAAAAATGTTTCTCTACTGGTGGCATTTTTGGCGTTGAGGGTCTTCCATCGGCGAACCTGGTAGCACTGCCATAGTATGGATTAATGCCTATTAGTGTGTCAGAGGAGGTAGAGGTGGGGATTTTATTACATAACTGAGTTATGATTAAAGGAATACTTTTGCAGGTTAAGATACTTATGCCGTCCATGCATGGCTGAATGGGTAATCGTGCCCTGTTACGTTTGACATTCATTTTGTCGGGTGTTTACATTTCTTTGTTACACTTTGAATTTTACTCTTTCGGAATTTGACGCAAGGGGTAGATACGGATGCCCCTCTCTGGCTTTCTAGGGCTATGACAGTGCTGCTAGGTAGCTTGCGCATGGACACATCTCGCATGTACTTCGATGTTTAGCGAATCGCGCTGGTTACGATTGTTTCGTGTGGTTCATCTGAAGAGTCGATGCTTAGTTGTTTAATCTTTCACGGATTCGTGCGCTGGCAGCAGTAGTTGCCTTCATTTCACTTGTTATGTTGTGGAGGAGCGAGTGAGAGGTATGTAGGGAAAGGTATGGTTTGCGTGTGTCTGTGTGAGCGAGAAAGGGAGTGTGTGAGAGAGAGAGAGAGAGAGAGAGAATGAGAAAATGATCAGACACAAAACTGCACGTCTATTGTCTCCAAACCCACCGATACAATGCTAGGAAATACACCTATTAGTGTTCTAACACGTTTCCTCTGTGTTGAATACTCAACTATTACAGATAGTCGAATTGTGAACAAGGTGAAGGATAGGGCATGCATTTACCCCTATGGAGCATTCACGTGATATCACTTCGTCATTCTAAAAATCCCCCCACGGCTTCCATCTAATAACAGAAGTGACTCCCGTATTTGCCTCTCCGTTAGTCTGTTATACATGCCGTGCATGTGAGAGAGCGAGAGTTCAATGTACGTCTGATATGCGACGGTTACCGCCACCGGTCGGTCACGCCTACGCAAAGAATTTAAACAGCTGCCGTCGCGCGTCGGTACGTGTGATCGGGAGCCCCATGCAGGATCCTCCAGGCCCCCACTGATGCATGAATCGTCTTTTTGTCCCGACCGGCGGCACACGCTATCTAGTTTCCCGGCTGTCAAAACAGGGAGCAGCCAGGATGGCCCCTGTCCAGTCGTATCCCACTGCGAAGTGGTCTCTGACCAGTGGGTCAAGCGGGAGAACACTCGCGCGCTCTCCCCCTCATACAAACCCCAGCCTTAATTAAGAAACGAGTCTGACACCACAGTCAGTTATGATTTCGACCACAATTTAGATTTTTACAATATCCTTATTAAAATTCCGTGGTATCCTATGGTAAAAACCCAATTAAAAAAGTAGCCAGTACTTATTTTGAATAATTTTGATTTCTACTACTAGTATATCAAGAGTAGATAATAACACAATGTGTTATTATCTACTCTTGTAGTATATCCTTAGTAAAATTCCATCGTATCCTTTGGTGAAATCCATAAAAAAGTAGCCAGTCGTGCTCAAAAGTGGGGGTCCCGAAATAGGATGGGGTCGTTATTTTCAACACTGCACCACCCCCTTCTTCGTTCGTCCCCGTTCATAACGATAGCTATGAGTATGAGGGAAGGCGAGTCTTGAAGAATTCGATCGAGTCTTGAAATGGAATATATCAGAATAAATCGGGGGGGGGGGAGTTTCTGAGGGACGGGTGGATTCCAAGATCAGCGTCAGCAGTGTTAGCTAGGAGAGCCGTAGCCAGCTGTTGATCCCTGCACTATGTTTGTAGGAACCCGCGGTCGGTTACTACGCTACAAGTACGACTCCGTAACAACAGTATTCAAACTACGAGTGAAATTGACGGTGGGAGAGGCAAGTACAGTGGTCCCCCCCCCTCTCTATCGGGCATCGGATAAACAGGCGCATCGCATCGCTTAAACGACGTGCGAATATGAACAAATTCTCACGCACGTCGTTATGCGTGCACCGCTTAATCGGGACCTATCCCTAATCTCCTTATCGATTAAGCGGGGACGACTGTGTATATTAGGAGTACGTAAATACACTCACTACTACTTGCTACTACTAACAGTAACAGTTCGCGCGCGCTAGCATGTTAATTAACTGTTATATAGTGCGTTATAAGCAGCCCCTCGGAACACCGGCATTTGAACTCGGCGTGCCTTGCCGTGCACGCAGTTTCGGCGGCTAGCCCGTCTTGAAGGTCGGCAACGTAGTTCTAGGCCAAGATAAGAATCATAGGCGAAGCGTCGTTTCTCCCCCTCCTCCTCCTCTACCCGCCCTCCTTCGTTCACCCCCTTCTTTTCATCTCGCCATCTTTGGCGCGTTCTAAACTCACCCCCCGACAACGCAGCGATGAATAGGTCTGCTAATTGGGTGACCATTGTCTGAAGGACTGGTCAGTCGAGATTTCGCGTGGCGGCGGCGGCGGCAGCGGCAGCGGGGATATTGTGTCTTAGGCGAAAACCGGGCGCGGTGGACATTCCGCGGTCTTGATCGGTAAGATTTGAGCCAACGGTCAAAGTCGGGTTCCTTTATGAGTCGGGTGGGTAAGTGCGCATGCGCGGGCGGAGGCGTTCCTTGGACATGATGGTTTAGCGTCTGCATGCATCCAGTGGGAACATCCACGGAGGCGTTAGGTGTCAGTCTAGAAGGAAAGACTGCGTATGCGTTGTGGGGCACACATTGGGTGATCCATTGCTAGACTGACGCGCACACGCACGCACACGGACACACACGCCAGCGCGCGCACACACACACACACACGCACACACACACAC